TTTTTTTTTTTTTTTTTTTTTTTTTTTTTTTAATTTTACGACAAAATATCTCTTTTTACATTTTTTTTAATGCTGTTTATTTTTATTCAATAAAACATTATATTAATTCGAAATTCTAATATTAAATATTTATATTCGATGATTAATCATACAAACATTAATCATATGACCGTTGACACGAAAATAACTCAAATATTAATGTTTTGGTATTTGAGTTATAGTTCAAGAAAATATTTATTTTCGTATCCCTAATTTTATCAAGTTCTATCAATTTTTACCGTAAACTTTCTAACCCACTCACCCGAGAATTTTCCACTAATTCCTTAGATAAATGATGCAATTCACCCACTTCCTTCAACAAAAAAATAATAAATAAAAAATCCATAAACTTACTGCGTTCCATAATTTCAAGTTTGATTAATGCACGACTTAACCACATCCAGACGTCGGTGGCTTATCAGAAAGGGGCATTGCAATACTTGATATAAAAAATGATATGATTTAATGAGTTCAATGCAACCGGAGTTTATGCTCAAAGTGAACCATATCATATTATTGTGGAAAGTCGTAATTCTTAATATGACCCACCTAAAAAACGTTAAAAAAAAAAAAAATTGTTTTTCTAAGCAATTTTGAAGAGAGAGAAATGGAGCGGTTAAGCAAGCATGGAAGTGGGAGATATCTCAAGCTACATGATATGCTTCATTATGCAATAAACTAATAAGATGATACAGCTCATGACAGTTTGTTTACCCATTTAATTATGCTTACAGTTCTAAATGATCTATGAGATGATCTAAAGTGATGTTATAATCTACTACTAATCATAACAGACCATCAGTGAATGATTTGGATCTAAAAGTTTGTACCTTGGAGTTAATCGATACGATTAGTTCTTCCAGCTGAGATGATTCGAGCTCCAGTTCGGTTACTCGAGCTCGTGTTTTTGCTACTTTTGTTTTTGCATCAGAAACCTCTTGCTCTTTCAATGCCAAATCTTTCATTTGGAATTCTAGTTCTTTCTTTGTTGATTCCAAATTCCGCTCGCAGTCTGCCTTTGCGGCTTCGGTTGCCCGATGCTGACTTCTCAGCTCGACAGCTTGGTAGATCTCATCAAGGCAACTCTTTAACCATCCTATGTTGATTTGTGACGACTCGACGTCCTTGACAATGGCTAAGAGTTCTTTTACTTTGGATTTGGTGAGTTGATGAAACTCTGTGGATTGTAATTCTTGAATCACATAGCACACGCATTGTAGATAGTACGAGCGCATGGAAACCGATTCCAATTTACAGGTAGTTGCGATATCGCCGTAGTTTTCGAAGATCGACGTCAAAATGGAGGAGAAGCTGGCTTTTACATTGTATTTTCCCACTGGAACACACATCTCGGAATCTACAGATTCGATCTCTCCCTCGTCGTCGCTGTCTACTAGTGTTTTCTCGAAGCCAGACAAGCTAAAGCTAGATTCACTAGATGGCTTTTGAGAAGCTTCTTTAGCATTCTTACCATTTGGTGTAAGTACCTTCTTATATAATGTTTCATGTTCTCCGTCCCCGTCCTCGTCTCCGTTCCTGTTATTTGTCATCCGAATCCATCTCTGCTTTGGAGCATCCTCTGGATAGTCAGGCTGTCAAGAAAGAGGATTGAGGGTTCAACATTTTGATGCAACAGTTAACAATTAGGATGAAGGTAAAAAAAGCACCATTATGAGACTTTCATATGAAGGAATTCGAGGCGGCTGCTCAGCGCTAAGACTACGATCTTCGGAATAAAATCTTTTGGTAGGGGAGATATGACCACCATTTCTTGATTCTACATTTGTCTTAGGAGTGATACGTGAATTGAGTGAGCAAGCTTCAGTAGAAACCGAGCTTGAGTAGCGTCCACCGTCAACTTCATTCGGAGGCTTTGGTCGGGACCCCTTCTTCCTTCCGAAAGATTTGGAAATATCAAGCCAAGATCCTGCTAGCATAACAAGATAAAAAAACGATGAGCCAGAAGAATAATCTTCAAGAGCATCGACAGACGTTCGAGAAGAAACGAAGTCTCGTGCAATATTTCATTCCATATCTAACTAAATGATCAATCAAGTGAATATCCAAATCTATCAAATTTTCATCAAGTCAGAGTATCAGCTTGCTGCCTAAAATTCAACACATGATTGGCATTGTATAGTTAATATGATGCAATGAAGCATCTTTTAGTGACAAATTCAATTGCCCCGACTAGAGGACTCAGTTCAATTATACATTAGCCTAAATCCACCGTTAGCAGATATTGTCCGCTTTGGCCTGTTACGTATCGCCGTTAGCCTCACGATTTTAAAACGCATCTACTAGGGAGAAGTTTTCACACCCTTATAAGGAATGCTTCGTTCTGGGAGAGGTTTTCACACCCTTATAAGAAATGTTTTGTTCCCCTCTCCAAACGACGTGGGATCTCACAATCCACCCCCCCTTCGGAGCCAACTTCCTCGCTGACACACCGCTCGGTGTCTAGTTTTGATACCATTTGTAACAGCCTAAGTCCACCGCTATTAGATATTGTCCGCTTTAGCCTTTACATATCATCGTCAGTCTCATGGTTTTAAAAGGCGTCTAGTAGGGAGAGGTTTTCACACCCTTATAAGAAATGTTTCTATGAGCTGTATTTTCATAGAAACAGGAACAATCCATCGGAAAGAAATCGATATATATCGAATGGTCTTGACATCCATCATAGCCATCATGTTCTTTTGAGATTAGCTATTAAACCACTCAACAAATAGCAGCATGGTTCACAAGAAAACACACAAGAGCTAATGAAGGAACAAACAAAAAGTAGTGTAAGCAAAGAGATTACCTTTACCTTTAGACTTTTTATCCTTTTCTGCCTTGCTTTCAGCTGTTTTCTTTATGCAATATTCAGTGCATTCATGGAAGGGATTGGAAGCATAAATACAATCTGGGCGAACTTTTCTCCTTTCAGCCATCTCTTTCATGAAATTTCACTACCTGTAAGTTTCACAGCATCAGAATTTCACCATTTTTGTCTTAAATCAGAGCTTTGTCACAAGGCTTTCTCAATTCAAACCGAAAATTTCCAGAAGCATCAAAAGAATAAGCCAAACTTCTAATCATCTAATACAAGAGATAGCAAAAGGAATCAAGTTCTCCAATGCTTTCAGTCTCTGATGAACAAACTTAAAAGAAAATGAACACAAGAAACCAGTTCAGAACAAAGCAAGACAGAATCCAACTAAAATCAGCGAAGTTGCTTATTAAACCAATGAATTCAGAGGAAACAAACTCAAACCCAAAAAAATCAAGCTCCAAATAAGGAGTCCCAGAAACCAAGAAATCGAGATTGAAAGCGAAATTTGCACGGAAAACACAGAGATTTAAGAACAAAGAACAATGGACGAATCATGCAATCGAGCCTCACTTGGATGGTATTGATTTGTTCTCTGGGTTTTGAAAAATAGAAGCGATTATTGATTTGCAAAGGTAAAGTTTAAAAGTGGCCACTAAATTTCTAACGCTGCCATTAATGGGTGTTCTGGGATGATGTTGAAACATCGACCAATTAGGTGAAACACGAAAAGAAAAATGAAAAAGTAGTCAATTTCTTTTGGCATTTTCCAATCCCAAAATTCCTGCAAACTGGGACACTTCACAAATGAAATCAAAATAATTCCTCATTAGTCACCAAAAAGTAGAAAGACGTGGAAATTTAATGGCTGAAAACCTGTTTTATAGCTCCAAGTGTGGACTTATTCAACAGTTTTGAAATAATGGTTTGTCACGAGATTCTATTTGTGGACATTATTTTTTAAGGATTGAAAAGAATTATTTTAAACCAAATCCATTTGTACTTTATGTTTTTGTTTATTTTAATCTGTATATTTTCAAAATATCTATTTTTAGTACATTTAGCTTAGATCATTTTTCGTTTATATGTCTCATATCCTTAATCACAATTTAGAAATATAACTTTATATTAAAGAGTTTATATTATAAAGATATATATAATTTGTAATAAGAATTTTTTTCCTAGAGACCAAAAAAAATAAAAATTTAAAATTATAGGAACCAAAAACAAACCTAAAAAAAAAAATATAGTATTAAAACTATGAAAATAAAATAAAAAGAAAATTTATAAGTCAAGCTCAAACAATCAGGCCACAAGGCTTGACCCATGTGGGCTTGGGCTTTATGGAAACAATTTCCATTTTTTTTTTCAGAATTTAAATTAATTTATTTACTTTTTAATCAATACTACTTGATTTTAATGTTGTATATATACAAAAACTTTGAAAATAGAGAGAAAAATATAGTATTTAAAAAAAAATTGTCATTTTTTAAAATTTCGGGTAAATATTCAAATATACTGTTTAAGAAAATGTAAAAAAAAAATCGTAAAAAAACAAGTAAAACTTTAGAGACAGAAAACAAAGACAGAGAAAAACCCTAATTCAAACAAAATATGCATACTTTTGCCAATGTGTGTGCCTACTTTGATATATAAAGCATGAAGATGTAAGCATTTTTGTGAGTACTTAAAATTGTTTACAAACAATACAAGCACATCCTTAACAATGATGACATGTTGGCAGTCAGGATTGGGACAAGCTATAGAGTAGTTGAGAGTCATGAAAGAAGATGCAAAGACTGAAAAGAATGCATAAAACTTAGCAAGGCAGTTAGGGCATCTTAGCTCATGCAATCTGTTACTCCCATCATTTCCAACTCATATATAGTTTTTCTTTCATCCCTCTCCCCTTAGTCCATCTCATAAGAATGAGCGGTAAAAAAATAAGTTAAATTACAAGTTTAGTCTCTAAATTTTTTTAACACCAACTACCTTGCAAGACTAAATACTTCTGGAGTGAGTACCCACAAAGGAAGGGTGAAACGAACCCCATCGGGGAGTGAAATAGAACATGAAACCGTAAGCTTTCAAGTAGTGGGAGGAGATCAGGACTCTGACCACATGCCTATCGAAGCTTCCAAGTAATAGGCAGTGGCTTGGTTAAGGGAACCCACTGAAGCCATAGCGAAAGCAAGTCTTCATAGGCAATTGTCATTGCTTATGGACCCTAACATGGGTGATCTATCCATGACTAGGATGAAGTTTAGGTGAAACTAAGTGGAAGTCGGAATCAAACACAAAATTGAAAGTTCAAGAATTTAGCAAAAAAGAATAAAAAAGAAAAAGAAATCCTAAAATCTCTCTCTCATGCATGGCCTGCAGTTCACCTACCGAAATTTGAACCAACAACCAATTGTATAAAAAGAAACAATTGTAGAATAAAAAAGTACTACTTCAGCTGATAGTTTGTCTTCTCTCTCTGTTACCAAAAGGATGCCAATAAAAGGTGGAAATTTGGTTGGCCCTTGATCTGATGATGGCTTATCAATGTACAAACTGAGGTGAGGCTTTGTCTGATAAGCTTTGGGTATATGAAGCCATTGCCCTGGTCTAGTGGTTAGCTATTGGTGTCAATTGAACTGTTTATGAAATCTTTATCTTTGTTTACTCTGTCTTTCATCATCCTTCACTTTCCTGTACATAATTCCTTTTTTTTAGTATGATTCTCTGACCAAATCTATCTATCATTGAGAGAAATTTTGGCACGTTCCAATGCTATTTCTAACTATCTTCTGTCTTCTATCAATGAATGCAGGTGATATTAATCATAGTATTGTCATCATGCAAACCCTGATGGAGAGGCTAAGACCCCTTGTAGGTAGTAAAAGCTGGGACTATTGTGTTCTCTGGAAATTGAGCCAAGACCAGAGGTATAGTTACACAAACACATACTCTCTCTCCCCCAGCTTACTTCCTTTTTTGTCTCTCCATCACTCGGGAGATTCTAATTCTGTTTCAGTCTTTCAGGATCCAACCCATTTCTCTTTCACTTAATCACTTTAAAGCTTTCTTTTCTGTTTCAGATGTATTGAATGGGTGGACTGCTGTTGTGCTGGGACTGAGAACAATCAAAATGGTGGAGAAGAACACGTCTTTCCATGTAGGGACACCTTAAGTCCACACCCACGAGCCAGTTCTTGCGATCTTCTTGCTCAGCTGCCATGTTCAGTGCCGCTGAATTCTGGGTATTTCATTTATATTTATCATTCCACATACCCTACTTCCCTTCCTCATCTATCTCTCAACTTTTCCCTGTTGAACAGGGTTTATATACAGACATTGTTATCAAATGAACCTAGATGGCTACTCTTCTCCAATGGCACGGATTCAACCGCACTGGAAGTGAGCTGCATTTGAAGGGGAAACAGTATCACACTACTATATCTTCCAGCAAACAGCTTACACCTTTTTCGTTCTCTTTGCAGGAAACAATGGGGACCAGGGTATTAATTCCATTTCCATTTGGATTAGTGGAGCTGTTTGTTGCTAAACATGTATAGACTCTTCTAGTAATCTCATTCTTCTTTTGAAGGGTTCTATACATCTTTCAACTAAAAATATAACCAAACTGGTTTTTTAAGGACAAATTTAGACAGATTCTCTCTGTTCTTACAGGCGTCTGAAGATCAGCATGTCATAGATTTTGTTACAACCCAATGCAGCATTTCGATTGAGCAGGGAGCCATTATTAATTCAAGCAATATGGATACAAGTTTCTCTGTTGATGTAAATGCAACCAACGAAATCCAATCAAAGCCATTTGTAGCAGATCAGAATGTTGTAATAGAGGATCCTGAAAATCAATTTGAGGCACCAGGTTCAACCGCACCAACATTAGAAAATGCCAACGTGGGTTATGAAATCTCATTAGACAGAATCCGCCTCTGTAGTTCTCCTATGAACTTCTTGCAACAGTTCAATTATAGCTCAGAAAACAGAAACAAGAACGAAATCTTCCATGAATGTTCACAGGATGCATTCCATACTGATAAGCAGGGAAACCCTTACAAGTTTTCAGCAGAAAATGAGTTCCAAGAGGTGGATATAATGCAAGGGTCCTTAATGAACAACACATCAAACATTCATATGCAGTTCAAGGAGAACACTGAATGTAAGGAGCAGCAAGGGGAAGAAAAGGACTTAGTCAAAAATGAAAATGGAAGGTCTGATTCAGTCTCTGATTGCAGCGATCAGATCGACGATGAAGATGATGCGGTTGCGAAGTACCGCCGGAGGACTGGGCAGGGTCCTCAATCAAAGAACCTTGTTGCTGAGAGGAAGAGAAGAAAGAAACTTAATGAGCGGCTGTATAACCTGCGAGCATTGGTTCCCAAAATTTCTAAGGTGATCACCACTAAACCCTTGTTTGGATCACTGGAAATCATCAAGGAAAATGAAATAAAATAGCTACCTTCGCACTTAAATCAGTTAACTCCTTTTCCTCACATAATTCGTTATAATTAAACACTTACTTCATCTTCTAATGAATAGCTTTTGTGGATTTCTCAGATGGACAAAGCCTCAATACTTGGTGATGCAATTGATTTTGTGAAGGAGTTGCAAAAGCAAGTCAAGGAACTCCAAGATGAACTGGAAGAACATTCAGATGATGAAAATGGTAAGATTGTAGGTACAGGAAACGATGGAAACAAAACTAGTGTCCAGCTACCTGAGTTTTTGAGCCAAAATGATAAAGCTCAAAACAGTTACCATATAGGAGTTCTAGGAAGTGGAAGCCTTTTGAAGCAAAATCATCAGGACACTGAAGGTACTAACAATGACAAGACACAACAGATGGAGGTATAGATAAGAAGTTAATTTTAGGACAAAGAAACTGTGCGTGTCAGTACATGTATGTCTCCTTTTATAATACACTACAGATGCTAAAACAGAAGTAAAATGAAATCATTTCAGCCGCAAGTGGAAGTGGCTCAGATTGACGGGAACGAGTTCTTCGTGAAGGTTTTTTGTGAGAACAAGCGAGGTGGGTTTATGAGGCTAATGGAGGCCTTAAACGCTCTTGGCTTGGAAGTCACAAATGCAAATGTGACCAGCTATAGAGGCCTCGTATCTAATGTTTTCAAAGTTGGGGTAAGCAAACTTTTCATCTCCCAAATATTTGCAAGCTTTCCACAAATCCAAACAAGAAAATGATTCAGAAACTAGATCACTCCAAGTTTACCAAATATACTATCAAGTGTTGGTACAATTATTCGATGATGACTTTCTTGCCTAACATTTTGGTGGCAGAAAAAGGACAGTGAATTGGTTCAAGCGGATGATGTAAGGGACTCCCTATTGGAGATAACAAAGTACCCATGCAGAGGGTGGTCTGAAATGGTTAAGCAACCAGAGTGCAGTGTAAGCCGCATGGACTACCAGACCCACCCCCATACCCACCAGCACCAGCACCAGCACCAGATCCAGATCCAGCATCCATTTCTAGACAAAGCTATCAATTCACGCCTCCACCTCCTTGATGATTAATTAACAAATCTTCTTCCCAGCCAAGGCACTAATTTCAGACTATATCTATTTGTTTTCATTTCTAGTTTATAGTACACACACCACAATAAAAAAAAAAAAAAAAAAAAAAAAAAAAAAAAAAAAAAAAAAAAAAAAAAAAAAAAAAAAAAAAAAAAAANTTGGTTCAAGCGGATGATGTAAGGGACTCCCTATTGGAGATAACAAAGTACCCATGCAGAGGGTGGTCTGAAATGGTTAAGCAACCAGAGTGCAGTGTAAGCCGCATGGACTACCAGACCCACCCCCATACCCACCAGCACCAGCACCAGCACCAGATCCAGATCCAGCATCCATTTCTAGACAAAGCTATCAATTCACGCCTCCACCTCCTTGATGATTAATTAACAAATCTTCTTCCCAGCCAAGGCACTAATTTCAGACTATATCTATTTGTTTTCATTTCTAGTTTATAGTACACACACCACAATAAAAAAAAAAAAAAAAAAAAAAAAACGATAAACACGCAAATTCCACAATCATGTTGTTTCGAATAATCAAAATCAATTACCTCCGAGTTAGCTCTGCTCTGTATGAACTGAGATTATTGCAGTACATGAAAACCGCAACAAATTTACAAGTAGGAGCAGAAGGCGAGACTAAAATTCCTTTAACTGTCTACACAGATCACAATAGCACAAATCCACAGAAAGAAGTAAGAACATCATCATCGCAAGTAGGTTAAATTTAGGAGAAAACTAAAGGATTCAGGGAATTATTCCAATTAATATAAAGCCTCGATCCGAGCAGGATAAACCAATTCTATTGAATATTGCAGAAATGAAAATCAAATAAGGTACAAATCAAGAATGTTCACAATCAGAAGATGAATCACTTACAACTACGCAAGAAATAACGATCCGAAGGATTATGAGAAGCCTTGTGAGCTGCTAACTTTTCCATCCCAAAGGCGCGCTTCTGGTCTTAAAGGAAGAAAATGAAGATCAACGAAGTAACGGCACGAATTTGTATAAAAATGTTAGCAATTTAGTTCGGATTAATATTTTTTTAGAAATTTTTTTAATATCATTAATTAATATATATATTCGAAAACTTTTTTAAAATTTTAAAAAATAATATATATATTTATGTATTTACGGTAGAATTTTTCCATAAATATTTCATGGATATTTTTTAAATTAAATATATATTTTAATTTTTTTTAAAAATTGAGGATATTATTAAATTTTTTAAAGTTTAAGGATATTTTTGAAACAAAAAATTAACAATTATCATTCAAATCTAATAATAGGATCGACTATGATGACTTGACTTCCTCTCTGTCTTTCTCGAACGTTGAGAATTAATAATATTCTCTCTCATTTTCAAAGACGAATGAAGGAGCAATAACGTCCACGATAATTTGCAATTTATAAAACTCAATCTATTTAATTTGACACTTATGTACTATCTAAAATTTAATAGTCTTGTCTCGTCTATAAAATAAATGCTAAATTACTAATTTGTCCTTAAACTTACGAGGTTAGATTTGTCTACCTAAATTCTAGTACTTCAAATTTTGTGTCAAATACCTCGAATCTTAAAAAACTATTTTGGTATATTCAACTTTTAATTTGTGTTCAATAAATCCCTAAACTTTTTTAATTTCGTGTCGGTCCTTCATTTATTTGATATTAGAAAAATCACTCCGTTATTAGATATAAAATTTAAATTTAAATTTAAAGTTTAGGATTCCATTTATATCTAATTAATTAGTTTATTTTTAAAAATATTTGAATAAGTTGGAAAGAAAATATTAAAAATTTATTAAATAAAATTATTAATATAAGGGTAAGATGGTCATTTTTTAAATGGAGAATTTTCTTTTGTACCCCTTTTAAAAGATCCGACCTTCGTCGTGGTATCGCAACAGGAATTTCGCATTGCCCAAGTTTTGGCCCAATCCAGGAGAAGAAAACCGACCGGTCACCGCCGAAAATGATCGTCTGCGTTGCCGTCGTCGGCCACCAGGTGCGACCTCCATGATTACTGTATTTTATGGAACTGAAAGGAATTTTATATATGTTTATATAAATAGATTTGTGATCCTTTTCCAATTCGGCCGAGCTAACAGAACAACCCCCTTTACATTCAAAGCTTCACGGAGGCCGATGATGCTCTCAAGCTTCATCACATCGTTCACTGTTCGCTGGATGTCGTCGATGAGCGAGGTATGTTTATCTTGCTTACCTTTGTGTTTTGTTTCTTGGAGTTTGATATTTCATGAAGTTGAAGGACGATTGGATCTAGGAATTGCGCCTCGTGTTGTAGTCAACTACTAGGATTTATGATTTGGACTTGTTTTTGTGATGATTTTCAATTCTTTCTTCTGATATGTTCGTGGTTTTGCTGCCAGTGAACAATCCGAGAAAATCTGGACCGACCTTGAATGAGACCTTTCTCGGTCTTCTTTATCCGACTGAAAATTACAAAGTGTGAGTGTGATTGTTTCTGTGATATTACAAATTAGTGAGAGTTATTTCATTTTCATGTAGGTATGATCAGAACTAGTCTTCTTTCTACTTCAATTGGAGTGGACCTTTAATGATCTGTACGATTGAAATCATTTCCAGGTATGGCTACTTGACTAATACCAAAGTGAAGTTCATTATGGTGACCACAGATCTAGATGTCAGAGATGCCGATGTGAGAAATGTGAGTACCATTGTGAGTTTGCAATTGTCTACAGCAGTATAGATCTTTAATTTTCACTTGCGAACTCTCACTGTTAGGTTAATCTGAGTTTTGAAGTTGAAATTTTTCTGAGCGTTTTCTGTTTATGAAGATTTTAGTGTTGCAAACACTTAATGAGGGCCTCCTTTATTCACTTATCTTTTGAAATTTTTCTTTCAATGATATAGAGCAACCTTTCTCATGGTAGCTGATTTAGAAGTGATGTGAACATGATATATTCATGTTGAGGAGTCCTATAAAAATGTTTTTACTTCCTTCATGGCCAGCTAAAACCCGAAGAAACAAGAACTTGTATTGATCACAAAAGGACAGCCACAAATTTTAGCCCCAAAAAATCCTCTATAACTAACAGTATCTTGGAAGATCCGTTGGTTCCTTTCCTTCCTTGTGAGCCGACCCAAAGAAGTTCTTTCGATGTAGGACACCACAAATTTTAGCTTCTTATGCTCGAAAAACACATGCCCTTAATCTCCAGATACTCCTCATAGTAATAGAAGATATGAAGATAAGAGTTTCTGTCAAGATGCTAACGGTGCACACCCTAATTCACCATGTTCAGTGTCTTCAAATTCTATCTCTTAATGATAAAAGTGACCACAGGATCGCTATTTTAGTAAGGTACTTATATGTACATGACATTCTAGAGAGGCATACTATTTTAAATATTCATTCTCTCCTCACAAGTCACAGCTGAAACCAGAATTGATGTCCATTAAAATCTTAAATAAGCTTCCTTAAAATATTTATGTTAAAACACTTCTGGGTACAAAATATAGCAGCATGGTATCAGATTAATGTGCAATCCTTGATTCTTTCTTTTCGTATAAGAAACCATTATTACCAATATGAACATAACTCAGCTAGTTAAAACTAAGACATATATCCCTAACAAAAAAAAAAAAAAAAAAAATGAGGTTCGAAAATCTACCTACATATTATTGAACTCCAAAATATAAAATGCACCATTGTCTCTTATCATATGCACTATCAGTTGATAGTTCAAGTTGCTTGATTGTATTATTGAAAACTCTTGCTTTCGTAGGGAGATTAGATAGTTACGAAGTCTAGTGTAGCATTTGGATGGAGTTTAAGAAATTTGAGCTTTTGTATACCTTGTTTTGGTCTGTGGGTTGATATAAGCTTACGTAGTCCATGAAGTTTGGTTAACTTTGTAGTTCGAGATAGGTAAACTCACATAATAATTAGGCTCAACATTTTTATTCCAGGTCAATACAAATTCCAGAAATTGCTATACCACTTTGTTGTCGCAATTGATTGACCTTCTTTTTGTGAGATCCCACGTCGGTTGGAGAAGAGAACGAAACATTCTTTATAAGGGTGTGGAAGTCTCTCCTTAGCAGACACGTTTTAAAACCGTGAGATTGACGGTGATACATAACGGGCCAAAGCGAACAGTATCTGCTAGCGGTAGGCTTGGGCTGTTATAAATGGTATTAAAACCAGACACTGGGCAGTGTGCCAGCGAGGATGCTGGGCCTCAAGGGGGTAGATTTTGAGATCCCACATTGATTGGAGAGGAGAACAAAACATAATGTATATAAGGGTATGGAAACCTCTCCCTAGTAGATGCATTTTCAAATCGTGAGGCTGACGGCGATACGTAACAGACCAAAGCAGACAATATATACTAGCGGTGGGCTTGAGATGTTACACTTTCACTCATAGGGTCTATTGTAAACCATTTCTTTTTGAAAAAGAATTCTAGATTTAGTAAATTGTGGATTCTGCCTTGCTTATTTACACATTATGTTACTTACATGAAGCTTCTTAATATGACATCTGACTCGTTCTTCAAATTTGTGTCCAGTTCTTCCGGAGATTCCATGCTGCATACGTGGATGCAGTTTCAAACCCATTCCATGTACCAGGTAAGAAAATTACTTCCAAAACTTTTGCTGAAAGTGTGAGTACCATAGTCAAGTCGTTTGGGTTCAGTTCAGCTATTTGAGTGACCAACCAGGAAACCACTGTCTGTAGCCATCGAGCCATAGTTCATTACTCATCTTTCTGGTTTTTATTGATTTTATTTGAAAATATTTGTCCCGAATTGTATTAAGAAAGATGGAACAAACAGGTGTGGTATTTTTCTAGCTTTTTCTCAAACAATTCAACCTTTTTTTTTCATTGATATTCACTGTTTCCATTTTATGCTCGTTTCCCATGACTGTTCCAATGACCGAATTCTGTTTTGAGATGCAATTTTCTCCATATAAAATGCCAGATTGAAAGGTGAGAATGAAGGGGTCATTGGCTTATGTTTTTAATAAATTTGTATATTTGTATATATCAAAGTTTAGAGTTGGTTGGTCTTGATTTGTATAATTTGTGTTTAGAGGTGCAGTTTTCTTCA